TGGCTCAGTCAGTTAAGTATCTGACTTCGGCTCAGGTCATGATCTCACCATTTGTGAGTTTGGGCCCCTCATGGGCTCTGTACTGACAGCTCCGAGCCTGGAGCCTGATTTGGATTTTGTGTCTCCCTCTCTCTCTGCTCTCCCCTAACTCATGCTCTGTCTCTCTGTCTCTCTCAAAAATAAACATTTAAAAAAAAATCACAATAAAAAAAAATTAAAAACTATGTAAGACCTTAAAGTATGTCCATAGTGTGGATGATTTCAATATTCATTCATTTACAAATAGACTACATACCATTAAATTTCATTTTTAGCTTTCTTTCGTTGTTTTATTCAGGCAGGATTCATTCAAAGAAAGACAACTTCATTTTTTGTGTATCGATTTTTTTTTTAACCACATTGGTTAATATAAAAGTTATGAATTAAATGTTTTCTTATCTCCTGCATCTAGGAGTGAATCCATGAAATTCTCAAATAGTAATCTAAAACAATAGGTCCTATTAAAAATAGCCAAAGTGAAAAAAGACCAACTAACCAGCCTGTTTGTAGATAGCTGATCATATCTTTTAAATTATTTGAGCCTTAAAGATTCTGAATAATAAAGTAAATAAAATAAATGATAAAAGGTCAGCAAATAAAGATGGGGAGGAGGGATTACATGGGAGTTTTAGGGAGGAATATGGTATAATAGCAACACATTATAATTATAATAAGGGTACTTAATATCATTATTATTTTTTTACTGAATAATTTCCTATGTATTTAGGAAAACCAAAGAAGCATATTCTGTTTTTGTATTCACTGCTAAACATATTTTTCCAATAACCATAAAGTAAGTCATATTTAGGAATTTCAGATACTTTGCTTAGGTCACTCAAGAATTGTTCCTATTTAGAAAAATGGGTTGTGATCCTTCTGAAAATCCTTCTGAAGCGTTCGAGCAGAGGTATCAGACTGACTTGGATTTGGAGGAGACAGAGGAGGAAGTCTCCTGGGCAGAAGTGAAACAAGCTGGGATTGCCTAAAAAGCAGTAGATACGATCTCATAAAACCTCAAAGGGCTTTCACAGAAGTGACCATTCATACTCTATTTACATAGCAGGTGTAGAAAAACTGCAGATTTGCGTCTTTTTGTCAGCCTCCATGAGCTGAAGGGAAGCCAGATCTATAGCTGTGTTGATTTCACTTCTATAATGAGACAGATGATAATTATGACCTTTCGGTCTTTCCACATTCTGACTCTTTTCTGTTCCTTCCATTCAACTTACTGAGAATTTTGTTTAGAGATTTATTTTTCTAATAGTTGTATTTAGCATAATTTTCTGACATTTAACTTTCATAAGTAGCAGTGAAGGAGTGAGAATAATATCCAGTTAATAAAATGCAACGGTAATAGTATTTTGTCCCAGAACTTTCCTACTCATTGCTAATACTAAGCAGTTGCCATTTATATTGGGTGAAAATTCCCAAATCCAGATTATGAGAGGTGATGACCACGTATTCCTGTGTCAGGGGACAGAATTTGAGGATGTTCCTACTTCCCCTGAACACATTTGGAAAATGATTTCTATTTATCAGAGAGGATTTGGAAATTTTTGTGAAAAGATGATAATTAGGGAATATTAATTGCTTATTAGTAAGCTATTCCCAGTTGAAATAAGAGAAAACTCCCGGAAACTTGATTAAAAAGAGAAAGCCCCACCTGTCCTCTCCCTTTTTGTAGATCCTTGGAAAGGGTGGGGACAGGAAGATGAATGGATATGTGTTCACTGTTTTCATTAGAATGGAATATTAAGTTGAACACACTGCTTCCATCTGAGCATGGGTGGCAACAATTCCATTATGTACTGACCTTTAGAGGAAGAGGTGAGGGAGGCTTGAACACTTAGTACTTGGGCTCTAAGACAAATCAGTTCCCATTCCAGGATTCAGACTTTGTGTACATGTCCAGGCTTATCCTAGAGATTCACAGTAGAAAAAAACAATACAGAATGCAAACGGAGGTCAAACTAGGGATTTGACGAGAGACCGTGGTGCCTACTTAAAATAAAATGGCTTGTTGGGAAGCTAACCACAATGTTCTCATAACACCACAAGGATCTAACTTCTCTCTGTGCCCCTTGCAATATTGTTGTGTTATGTACCATGCGGTGCGGATTAACAAACATCAAAGATGGTCCTGTGCTTTGATTACCTTGTAATCAAAGACACTCATCAAACTATTTCCTGTCAAGGGAAGGACGCTTTGAAATATTCAGTTGTCAGCCTTGTATAGTACAGTACACTACGCTCCGAGTCAGCAGATCTAAATGTCTGAGAATTGTCCTTTGTTAACTTTAAGCGAGTTACTTCATCTTTCTTTGCCTGATTCTTAGTGCAAAATGGAGGTAATATACAAAGTAATGTAGAAGAAATAATATACTCAAAAGTTTTACATAGTATTACCAATCTTGGGGATGAAAAAAAAAATTACCATAGAATTGAGTTTGTTTGTACAGTGAAGGGAAAATGGAAGTATGATTGGCTCAAGCACAAGTGGGAAGATCATAGATCACCTGGGTTGTAACGAAGTTTGTGTCCATGATGAAAAGTGGTATAGGAGGTTATCATGAAATATTTACAGATTCTCACCTGCAGAAATGTAATTTGAGAAATACCTTCTCTATGCCTAAACCTAATGGTAGCAGTTTAATATAATCACTCTGCATTTATTTATAGTATTTATGTATATTATATACATATATACATGTATGTACATTTATTAATTCTATGTACATATTAATTACATATTAATTACTATGCACATTAATCAATTACTATTTATTATGTAATTAATTATTACATTTATTAATTTAGTGTTTACACTTCATCAATTCAAGATTCTTTTTTCGCATTTCCCTTCTTGTTTCTTGGAAATAAATGGAGTCCCAGGATGGACTTATGTATCATTTTGACTTTCATGACATTTGCTTCTGCTCCAAATTTACAAAATTTATCCAGTGCTTCAAGTAACTTTGTTCCAGATCAGTATCTTTCCAGGACTGCATAAAGAAAGCCCTCACTGTTACTTCAGTGATTCGGGGAAGAATATGGTAAAGGAAATGAAAAACTACAGTAACAAATAATTAAGTATAAAAATACTGTTATTCCTTAGAGGGAATTGACTCTTTTTTCTGGATCCACTGCACCACTGTGCCAAGGTCACGGTGATGCCTGACATCTAGAGCCTCTGGTAGCTAATTCCTTGAGATGGACCTGACTTGGAGGGGATGGCCTTATGTAGAGGCCTGTGGAAGGAGAAGGGGCTTTACAGCAGCTCTGTTATTGCCCTAGAGATGATGGAAGGGCACAGAGATTAGTTACTAGTAATGACCTCTCTCTGGGAGAGCCAGCAGGGCTAGTGGAGTAGAGACGGGAACAACAAGGTGTGGAAGCAGTAGGGAGAACTCACTTCCACTGATACTAGACCAGTTCATCAGAAAGGTCTTCCCATTGATCTGGGAGTCCAAAGTCAAAGAAAGCTTGATGGATGAGAAATATTTCATGTAATTCAATTGCTCTATGTTTCTTTCTTTCAAACAAAACAGTGGTTCTAAGATGAAGCTGATTTTGCCCTGCAGGGGACACTTGGCAATGACCCAAGACATTTTTGGTTGTCAAAATTGGGGGAAGGGTCGTTCAACTGGCATCTAGTAGGTAAAGGCCAGGGTTGCTGCTGAACATCCTAACATACATAGGACATCCCTTCACAACAAAGAATTATCCAACTCAATAGTGTCCAGGGGAAGAAATCTCGACCCAGAGGGAGAAGTTTTCAAGGGCTTAGACTCTACTGGTCCTCCTGATGGGGTTGTACAGATTTGAAATACAGAAAAACTTTTAAAGACAATGTTAGGCAGGAAAGTACTTACAACTACTCAACACAAACTCAAATGTTTAATTCAGACTATGTCTGCTTAATGTTTTAAAAATGAATAAGGGGGGGCGCCTGGGTGGCTCAGTCGGTTAAGCGTCCAACTTCAGCCTGGGTCATGATCTCGTGGTTCGTGAATTCGAGCCCCGTGTCAGGCTCTGGGCTGATGGCTCAGAGCCTGGAGCCTGCTTCTGATTCTGTGTCTCCCTCTCTCTCTGCCCCTCCCCCATTCATGCTCTGTCTCTCTCTGTCCCAAAAATAAATAAACGTTAAAAAAAAAAAAACTTAAAAAAAAAATGAATAAGGAAAAAGAGTAGTCAATGATCTGAATGTTCTTTGTAAATTCCAAAAGAATCAGAATCCTAATATAGACCTGAATATTTTCTAATTTTGGCCACTTATCAGAATTACCTGTGGAGATTAAGAGTATCAAAAAAATAATGACTGGTTTAAGTGTAGAGTCCAGGCAGGAGATTCTGATGCCCAGTGGGGCTTGAGCGCCACTGTTTCATAGCCACATTAAGAAAACAAACTGATTTAAATAACCTCACTCTTGCTCCTCTGCTCACAACCTAGGAGAAAGGGTCATGGATATGTAGAAATGCATACCACTTTCCAATCTGTGTCCTATTCAGGGCCTAAGTTTAAAGAACTATATGGATAGATGTATGTATGAAATCTCTTCTTTTTCTTGCTTTTAATGGTGAACTCTCCCCAGCAAAACTGTGTGGCCCATTCAGACTTGATGAGATATTCAGGCAATCTACATTACTACTCTTAAAGCCATGCCTTGCATTTCCCCTTTTGCCCTCTTGGCCTCTGTATGACTCCCTTACCTTCCCTCATTTGAATAAAGTTACTGATGAGGAAACAGGGTACAGAGATTAAGGTCTCCAGTTTACACAGGAAATCAGGGGGCAGATTGGGATCTCATTTCCAGCAACCCATCCAGAAATCCCACCTAAGTAGTTCATCCGGAGTTCTGTAAGGACAGTCCTGTGCCAAAGCGGGTTTCAGATGAAAGAAAGTACAAGCTGGTTTGCCCATTTGAAGAAAACACACACAGAGAAAGACGTCCACACACATGCAAGGATTTAACTTTTAATTTCAGTTCTCTCCATTGTTTATCTCTTGATTTCAGTAGTTCAGTGCTCAAGACAATATCCGCCAGATTCAAATGAGCACAAGATCAACTGTTAAACATCTTAAATTATGTTTTGTCCTAAGTCTGTTCTAATGATGATGCTTTTTTTTTTTCTTTGTTTTTCCTGCTTCAAACAGAGGTGTTTTCTCTTTTTCCTCTTGTCTTCTGGAAAGGCTGATTGCCTGATGTTACCAATACTCAGGAATTGTAGAGGGGCATCTTTAATCCTTTGAAAACAAACACAATAGTATTTTAGATTTTGCCATTGAATCCACTGCAAGCACAGCTCAGATGATTTCAAGGCTTCCTCATTTGCATGGAAGGAATGGCTAAAAGTGATTAATGTGAGCTCTCTGAGAAATTTTGATGACAAGTTTATTGGGAAATGTGTATATGGAAACTGCTATCATTTCTGTTTCTAAAAACCATTGCCACGAAAAGAGTGAAAAACATTACTGAGCCCAGAAAAGCTTTGCTTTTACACCAGAAAGTGAAAATGGAATAAAAAGGCAAGTCAATATAAACATTATGCATTCCAGATGAGTTTTACCACATGACCACAGACGAGTGAGACAGGATTTTGAGAAATAAGTGGCAGAGATTGAAGCAATTTAAACCATAAGCTCTTTCTGTATTATCTAGAAAAGAATGTCGCTTTTATCTTGTGACTCTGGGAAAATGGTAGCAGACGAATATACTTTATTGTCAGATGCCAAAGGCAGATGTGATGGTCAAGATACTTCTCTTTTGCCCTTTACTCTGGGACTTATGAGCAAGCAGGATAGGCTGGTGGGTAAATAATTGCTTATTCACTTGGTAACTCTACAAATGGGCATAATCTGATGCCTGGGCGGCTCAGTCGGTGCCTGGGTGGCTCAGTCGGTTGAGCCGACTCCTGCTTTTGGCTCAGGTCATGATCTCATGGTCATAGGATTGAGCCCTATGTCAGGCTCCAAGCTGTGCATGGAGCCTGTTTGAGATTCTCTCTCTCCCTTTCTCTCTCTCTCTCTGCCCCTTGCTCACACCACTGTCTCTCTAAAATAAAATAAATAAGTAAAATAAAAGTGGGCATAATCTAAATTTTAATCACTCTTTATAAAAATTTCAGGCAGACTGGAAAAATGCAGTAAATGTAGATTGCCCAGGACAAGGGTCACTATTAACGTTTTGTACTGTAGTTTATTGCTTTATTTGTCGATAAGAGAACTAAGGAAGGCCACAATTATGACTGCCCTCTACAGTTAGTAGGTAGGGTAGCTCTGAGCCACTAACCTAGAGTAGAAGATTTAAAAAAAATTTTTTTTAATGTTTATTTATTTTTGAGAGAGAGAGAGAGAGAGAGAGAGAGAGAGAGAGAGAAAGCAGGAGAGGGGGAGACAGAGAAGGAGACACAGAATCCGAAGCAGGCTCTGGGATCCAAGATGTCAGCACAGAGCCTGATGTGGGGCTCAAACTCACAGATTGTGAGATCATGAGCTGAGCTGAAGCCAGACGCTCAACCAACTGAGCCACCCAGGCACCCCTAGAATAGAAGATTCTTAAACCTGGAGATGTTCCTAGAGACTATATAGCCAAGAAATTAGGAAGTTTCTAAGAAAAAGAAGAGAACATTTGGGTATGTCTGGATATCAGGAGCATGTTTCAGAGCTTCTGGACCCATCCAATTTATTCCAATTTGAACAACCCATCATGCAAGGCCTCTTTTCTGATTCATTCTGGCGTGATGTTTGAGAGAGTTTGTGTGGAAAGCCCTGTGGCAGCTTTCTTTGTATATACACTCAAGTGGAAAGGGTAGAGGTTATTCCAGAGGCCAGGAAACAGTAATTCATCTCCATAGAGCTGATGAAATTAGAGTCCCAGAATGCAGAGCAGAGCCTAGAGCCAGCTACTGGGACTCTCAAATGTAACTTTAGCTTGGTTAAATTCTTGGTAGAGAATATGGCATAAGAAAAAGGGCTATGGTCATATAACAATGATTATCTTTGGTTTCAAAACAATTTACTTACAAAATGATCTTCAGGGGCATGTAATCACTGTGAAATTATAGTGTAAGCTTCCAATCAAACTGTATATGATCATCAAAGCAAAGAAAGGAGTGAAGGCTGTTCACTGTGGATCTGTGAGCCAAGCTTGTAGGAAAAGACTGGATTCTAGGAGTCACTGATCTGCTAACTCCACGTTGACAGTCAAATCACTACACTTTCCTGTACCTAGTTTCTTCGGCTGCAAAATCAACATAATGATGTGCACACCTCACTCAGAAGACCTTTGCAGGGCCTAAGAGTATAAAAAGTCATAAGAGAAATTAGGGCTTGCTGCTGGCCCACAAAATGAAACATAATATTTTCGTGGTTACTGCCAAGTGACTTTTTTTCAACTGAAGTGTGGTGGCACACAAAGTTACATGAATTAAACTGCCAAGTGATTTTTATGTTACACATCTTTATAAACGGACTCTGTGCTCTATGAAGTGTCTGGCTTAGAATGTGCTTTATTGTTACAGTGTTTTAATAGAAAAATAATAACAGCAACAGTATTCATTATTTGTGAGTTTCATAACACTGTGAACACTGTTTCAGACCCTGTGATAGCATTTTATGTGCTTCATCTCATTGACTCCTGAAAGCAATGGCAAGGCAATCTGCTGAGGAGACATTACCATCTGCAAGTGCAGACATGGAAAAACTACAGGTGTGGAGAGGTGGCCATCCAGTGTGTGATAAATGCAAGATTCAAACCCACCTCTGTTTACTTTCTGAGCCCTATGCTTTTGGCCACAGTTACAGGCTGAATTGCACACTCTGAAAATTCCTGTGTTGAGATCCTAATCCCTAGTACCTCAGACTCTAACTGTATTTGGAAATAAGTTTTTTTTTAAGTTTATTTATTTCTTTTTGAGAGAGAAAGAGAGAGAAAGAGAGAGACAGAGTGCAAGTGGGGGAGGGGCAGAGAGAGGAGGAGACAGACTCTGAAGCAGGCTCCAGGCTCTGAGCTGTCAGCACAGAGCCTGATGCGGGGCTTGAACTCATGAACTGGTGAGATCATGACCTGAGCTGAAGTCGGACACTTAACGGACTGAGCCACCCAGGCTCCCCTGGGAATAAGGTCTTTAAAGATGTAATTTAAATGAGGTCATTAGGGTGGACCCTAATCTAATACAACTGGTGTCCTTACAAGAAAATGAAATTTTGACAGATACACATAAGGGGAAGACCGTGTGAAGACATAGGGGGAAAACAGCCATCTGTAAGCCAAGGAATGAAGCCTCAGGAGAAACCAATACTGTCAACGTCTTGATTTTGAACTTCTAGCCTCCAAAATTGTGACACAACAAATTTCTGTTGCATAAGCCACCCAGTTCGTGGTATTTATGGCAGCCTTAGCAAACTAATAAACCACCATTATATCTTGTCAGCTCATTAGAGAGGAAAGATGTCCCACATGGAAACCCTTAGCTGATCTGAGAAAAATTATCAGGTCAGAGACAAATAATTTCTGCTCTTTTCTATCTCTACCTCATGTCATCTGACTACAGAACCTTCTCATCCTTTCTGTGATAGATCACCGTATTACTCAGCAAATGCTTACTTTCCTCATCTCCATGGGAGGAATGTATCTCTGTCCCACATACATTTACTTGGTCATGTGACTTACTTTAATCAGTTAGGTGTTGAAATGATGTGAGGTGAGCAGAGGGTTGAAATGTGTTTGCACACTAACTGTGACCTGCCTTGCCCTTGGAAATCAGGCCTCAGAACCAATGCATGTGAGAGCAGACTTGAATTGACCCTGTAGCCTGAATGGAGTCCAGCCTGGCTCAGGCAAGTTGCAGCCGGCCCTCAGACCTATGAGAATAAATTATTACTGTTCTAAGCTACTGATACTTGAGGTGGATTTTTTTCATTATTGTGGCAAAAGCTGATGCATCTATTATTTTATCCCATGATATCCGTTAACATGCTATATCTGGGTCATATTGTGTAATGAAAGTCTCCACTGGTTTTTGTTTGATTTGGGGAAAATGCATGCCAGCCTCCCTCCAAATATTTCCCACATCCTGGAGTTCAAGGCTGGAGATTCATTCCATTAAGTTTCAATACTCTCCGGTCTTTTGGAATCTCCCTCTAAAGAGAGGCTTGGGCAGAAGAGTAACTTCCAAAGACCAAATCAGCAAATCTTATTGTTATTAAATTGCAACAGGATAAAACCTTACAGAGGAAAAAGGTATTGAGGCAGGAGGAAAATATTCAGTGGAAAGCCTAGGATAGGAGAGCAACATCAAAGACAAACTTCATGCTCTTTACTCTTTTGTCAAGGATCAGCCCTTGTCCCAGGATGGCATGGCCCCAATTGGAAATTACCAAATATCCACCCACAGGAGAATGAACAAAATAAATTGTGGTGATTTTGTACAATGGAATACTTTGTAGCACTCCTTATGGTTTTAATTGTGTCCCCTCACAAATTCTTATGTTGGAGTCCTAAACCCCAGAACCTCAGAATGTGACCTTATTTGAAAGTATGATCATGGCAAAAAATGTAATTAGTTAAGAAGACCCATGTTGGGTCCCTAATCCAAAATGACTGGTAGAAAGAATGCCTTGTGAAGAGAGATATAAAGCAGGAGAACATCATGTGAACTTAGAGGCAGAAAACAGAACAATACATCTACTTCCAAGACCTGGAGTGCCAAAGATTGCCAGCAAACCACCAGAAGCTAGGAGCGAGGCCTGGAACAGATTCTCCCTCACAGGGAATGGACTTTGCTGACACCTTGATCTTGGACTTTTAGCCTCCAAAATTGTGAGACGATAAATTGCTGTTAAGCCACCTAGTTTGTGGTTAGAGCAGCCTCAGGATACAAATACAACAATGAGATGAATGTACTTTTATGGCATGCAACAACATGCAGGATTCTATTGACTGTATTTTTGAGTCGGATGAAGCTAGACCCTAAAGAAAACAATGTGAAAGTCGGTTTATACAAATTTCAAACCAAGGAAAACGAACTTATAGTGGTTTCCATTAGGGCTAGGTGAATCGTGTATGGGCTAGGGTATAGGGAGGCTTCTGGGTACTGTCATATTCTTTTTCTTACTATATAGTGGGTACATAGGCGTGTTTACTTTGAAATAATTTATTGAGCTGTACTCTTACAATTTATGTTTTGCGTGCATACTGTGAGTCGATATAAGTGATTTTTCAAAAGATATTGATGGGCAGGAAGAGATTGAAGCCACAGGATTTAGAAGAAATACTTGACAGTGTAAATAAAAGTCTTAGAAGAGGGCATGTAATAATATCCAGAGCCCAGTGGAGGGTTTGGCTCAGGTAGGAAGAAGGCACTTCTGGGCCTGATGGGAAGGCCCTGGATGCATTATACCAGAAGTGGGGTTTGTGAAGTTTCCACTTTATCAGAGCTCTCGTCTTTCCTTTGTCTCGAACAAAACTTGAGTTTAGTATTTCAAAAATATTCTTTTGGCAAGTCTCTTTGCATTTTCTGAAATTCATTTGAAACGCCGTCCATTATTCTGGCAGAGCCAGGGAGCCCTTGTGTCCATGTGACATGCCTCCTGTTGCTATGGTAATTGAATGTTTACTAGAGAAAATATTACCAGTTAATAATAGCCTGGATGGAAATAATAGCTACCGCTAGGCCCTTCAGAGTTACACACCATCAATTTCCAATTTGCTGAAATAGGTGCAAGTTGGCTTTTTGAGTTTCGAAGTATGACTTTTTCCAGGCCTCTGTGATCCTTCCCCCACACCACGTACCACAGACCCACACCCACACATCCAAATGCTTCTAAAGAATGTTCGGCTCGTCCAAAATGATGATAGAGAGAAGCTGTTATGTTGGAGCCTTGTCACAATTTCAACAGTAGGAATAATGAATAAATTAGAAGGTTACTGTTTACTGGCTTTGGTTAATGGTGAAATCACAGAGGGAATAATCACAGAAGGAGAGTACAATTCATACTATTTCTTATACTCAGTCTTATCCAGAATCTCATTCCCAAAGAGCAAACCAACAAGCAGATGTGTTGAATTACTTCGTCAAAAATCATGCCTGTGCATAACAAAAATGCCTCTCAAGGTATTTAGCACACTCTTTTCCTTAGGCTCGGCTATTTACATATTTGTTCATTTATTGATTGATTGCTTCCTTCCATTATTTATTAATTCACCAAATGTTTATCAAGCCAGTCATTAACCTAGTTGTCAGGGAAGCAGATCCTGCCTTGGGTCTCAGAGGAGCTTGCGAGATAGCAGCGTTTCGGTGAAGTCACCCCTCCTGTCAGCAGCCTTCCCACCGAATGCCAATAGTGTGCAGCTGGAAGGACATGGCTCATGACTCAGGTTCCATGTCCTCCCACAATTGGCCACCTTTCACCCATGTGTGGGTGAAAGCAGTGTGAAAGTGTGGAGGTGAGGGGCAGTGCTTAGGCTTGTGGGAGGGAAAACCCCTCCTTCAAAAGTCGAGAGAACCAACAGCCCTCCGGAGAGTCCCAAGCTTATGCTTCCAGAAAGAAATGTTCATCTACCATGATGACCAGTTTTACCTATCAGATCTAAGAGGGCCGGAAAATCGGTGAGGGGACCAGTTTGAAACAAGAGGAGCGGGTCGTCTGTGGAGATTGGATCTCACCCCTAAGCCAGTGGTATCTTGGACAACTCCGTATACAACAGAATTGCTGGTTGGAGGAGGACAGGAGTTAAGAAATGGAGGAATGCCCATTTCTGGGCCCCTCCCGTCTAGAGATTGTGATTCCAAGAGTGGAAGCCAGGAAAATGCGTTGTAACTAGTCCCCTGCTTGTTTTGGTGATGGTGTTCCCCAGGTCACACACCTGCCAAAGAAGGGAGAGGTTAGTGTTTTAGACAAAACACTCTAACAGGGGAGGGCACCTGGAGTGGGGGAAACTGGCTGGCAAGAAAAATCAGTTATAAGAAGCATATTCCAGGTGATAGAGAAAGAGCCTGCGTAGTAGCAGCAGGTTTGGAGAGGAGGGATGGGCTCTGGAGAGACTCAGGACTGAGAAGCAATGAAACTTTGAGAAAGATTAGGTCAGGAAGTAGAAGAGTTACAAGCCTGACTATCAATATTGCCAGGGAGAGAAGTCACCAAGTAAGGACTTCAGCGTTACATTTGTTGTCTGGGCCTATTTGGACTGCCTCCCTCCCAGCACCTAGCCACAACCACCAGACTCTTGCATACAGAGGGTTAAACTGAATGAAAGAAAAGTGCCCTATCACCCAAGTCTGAGGGAGATGTGCACAAGGTAACCCTGCACCGTGGACTTTTAAAGATTGTAACACATGTAGAAATGGAGGGATTATTATTATTATTATTATTTTTTTTTAAAGTTTATTTTTGAGACACAGAGAGAGAGTAGAAGCTGGGGAGGGGCAGAGAGAGAAGGAGAGAGAGAGGGAGAGAGAGAGAGAATCCCAAGGAGGCTCTGCACTGTCTGTGCAGAGCCAGACATGGGGCTTGAAGCCACAAACCATGAGATCATGCATGACCTGAGACTAAGTTGGACACTTAACCAACTGAGCCACCCAGGTGCCTGCAGCAGATTTTTAAGTTTTCTTTTTGTTTGTATGTTTTCTTTCTCTTTCTTTCTTTCTTTCTTTCTTTCTTTCTTTCTTTCTTTCTTTCTTCTTTCTTCTTTCTTCTTTCTCTCTCCTCCTTTCTTTTTCTTTTTTTTTTCAATGTTTATTTGTTTTTGAGAGAGAGAGTCAGAGACAGAGAGAGAGAGAGCAGGGGAGGGGCAGAGAGAGAGGGAGACACAGAATCCAAAGCAAGCCCCAGGATCTGAGCTGTCAACACAGAGCCTGTCATGGGGCTCAAACTCATGAACTATGAAATCATGACCTGATTGACCTGAGTGGAAGTCGGATGCTTAACTGACTGAACCACCCATGTGCCCTGTTGTTTGTATGTTTTCTTACATGAGCATTGGTGACACGATATGTCAGGAACCAGTGTTTGGGAGGGATAAGGAAGACAGGGTGGAGGCCAGAAAGCATGAGACACCCTGACCGTTAATGTCCAATTGTTGAGGAGTCTCTAAGATAGACACACTGATTTCACACTACCTATTCCAGAGTAGTGTGGCCTAAAAACAACTTGAATTGTAATTTTTCTACTCCTGAATATTCCCTGGTGGATCTTGCCCCTGCTAGTTAGAGCAAAAACAATGACAAAAGTTCTGCAGTGGTGGGTCCAGAGCAAGGGGAGAGAGTGGGGTCAGCAAGTAGCCAAAGGAATAGTCAGAACACTTAGAAATGGTACATTAGGCAGGGTTGGGATATGGGAGGTATTGATGGGGACTGAGTTACTCTGAAATAGAAGAGCTGTGGTCTGGAAGTCTTTGCACCAGAAACCACGTGCCATCAGCTCTTCTCTCCATCATCAGAGCTTCATCCCTGTTGCTCAACCTGAGACAGAAAGTGGGAGGAGTTGACAAGCAAGCCATTCTTGCACCAGGGCGACCAGTGACAGCTGAGCCTGCTCACCAATGTGTGCGCCACAGACCAGAGAACATAACGCACTTATTCAAGAGTGTACATCATTTCTACTGTTTGCTTTATAAGCTTCTTGTTAGATACATAGTTTTTGAGGTAGGCAGGATACAAGTCAAGGAAATAAGAAGGTACCTTCAGGTACATTGTTTGTTCTCCTATATCCCTATTTTGATATTTTGTTTTTAGAATAGAGATTGGCCAACTGCAACATGCAAGCCAAGTCTGGGCATGTCCATTTGTTTACATATCCTCTGTGGTTTCTTTCTCTCTACAACAGCAGAGTTTCATAGTCAAAGTTACTGTATGACCTGAAAAGCCAAAATAATTTACTGTGATTTTTTTTTTTTTTTTTTTACAAATTTTGCTAACGTCTACTTCAGAAGAATCCTTGGGGCACTTGGGTGGCTCAGTTAGTTAAGGTTCTGATTCTTGGTTCTGGCTCAGGTCATGATCCCACGGTTTTGTGGGTTTGAGTTCCACGTCGGGCTCTGCACTGGCAGCATGAAGCCTGCTTGGAATTCTCTCTCTCCCTCTCTTTCTGACCCTCCCCAGCTTGCACTATCTCTGTCTCTCTCAAAATGAATAAATAAAATTAAAAAGAGGAAGAATCTTTTAAAAGGCTAGAATCACCAGAATGTATTGTCCTAATTGACATCAATGAGGAAAATGATAAATTTCCATAATTAAGGTGACTAGTGTTTGTAAATTGCTTTCACATACATGCTAGCCACATGACCACCACAAAAGGGTTTTGAGGCATGTATTCTGAAATCTATTTCATGGAGGAAGAAATGGAGGAAGAGATGAAGTGATTTGCTTAACTCTTGCTTTGGGGAGCCCGAACCAGGAGCCCAATGTCCTGAGTCTAAATTCATGCAATTTCCATCATTTTAGTCCCATCCTAGAGCTGAGTGTTTCCACTTATGGAGAAAATCTACCCGGTGTAATTTCTAAAGTGCTGAGTAGGCTTTGAGCCCTCGGATATCTCAGCCCAAATCCCAGCATTAGAAATCCATTCCTCTGGATCCACAAGTTCCTTTTTGGAGATGTAAAATGCCCCCAGGAAGGTGAGCATGTTAAGTCTGGTTACAAGTCACTTGCATTTTCAGGCAAAGTCTTAAGTGAATGCTCTTCTCCTAACAAGGAGATATGATGCCCAGTGGAGAAGGGAACTGCAGGTGTGGAAAGAAATATTTCTGTGTGTGGCCAGGAATGCAGGGGGGCCGATCTGGGAAGGGCAGCAGGCACTCAAGAGAAATGAAAAAGGCAAGTCTCCAGAAAGTATGAAGTCTACTTCTTTCCTTACTCACAATTCTTGTTCTCATTGGTACCACAGGGAGAGTGATGCACAGGCAAATGGATCGTGGGTCTGATTTATTTTAGTGATTCTTACATTCTTATTATCTTTTTCTGGCTGCCCTATGACCAGTCTTGTGTTTCATCTCAGTTGCCTAGATACTCCCAGCCTGAATGCTGACAAGTTTCCCAAAGATGAGTTTAATTTTGTGAGAATTCTAGAATTATATCTCCAAGGAGGTTTCTTGCCACCAGAGTGTCTCTGGAGCAAATTTGTGGACTCTAAATATTTTCCAGCAGATTGTAAATTTTGGATATGGTGCTAGCAAAGAGAAGAAGGGACAGCAGCAAATTTCAGGACCACATGGTTTCCAGTTAGATTGTAGTCAGTGTGATAGTTTGTATGATACACTGTGTTCTCTGCTCAAAGATGTTCTTGGGAGAAAGAAGAAAGGTTGAACGTTTCTTTTGTGCCAAGTAATGAATAATCAAGGGAAGAAACTGGGAAAGAAAATCAATTTTGGATTTGAGTGTTAGAGAGAAGCTAGAACTGTGAGCCCTTATTATGTTGGTGACACCATCTTAACAAAGTAGAAATGAGTTTTTCTGTCTCACTTTGCAGTGGATGACTGAAAATGACTTTCGAACCTGGTATGTACATGGTATGGAGATTTCCATTTGTAAAAAGAATCGTCTCTAAATAACTGTTGAAATATATGCCCTGAAAATGTGAAATTGATTTGGTAAGTGGATGAATTTTGGGACTTCCGTAAAATAAGGTAAATAAGGAAAGATGCAACTTTCATAAATGAAACCCAATAACCATTGAGTTTCCATAATGATACCATCTGTCCCTACTTTTTGGAGACGTTCATTAATGTGTGGGAACCTTGCTTCACATGGTAGAGAGAAGACTGAGCTGAGAGTGACATTCTTTGGGTTCCATCTCAATTCTTGTTTGTAATCAGATAGTGTTAGGAAGGTCGTTGTGTTTTTCTTACTCGATTTTCTCATAGGCACAATTAAGAGATTGAATTAGACACCTCCTAAGTTTTCTTTTGCTTCTCAGAATGTAATTTGTGGCTTTACTGGGACAACAGACTCTGATCAACAATCCTTTTTTTTTTTTTTGATCATCTGAAATACCATTTTCTTTTGACCTGACTCTTTAAAATTAAATTATATTACCTCAGATTCATCATCTGTCAATCATTTTCTTTCCAGTCATTTTCCCCACTGTGTTAGGATCTTGACGTCGTAGAATTCAAAGACATATAGGCTAGGACCTCACCTCTTATTCAAAACATTCGTGACATATCATGATCCTGATTCTTCTCCAGGAACAGAGAGGAAGTGACTTCCAAAGCTCAGTGCATTTATGCTGGCTTAATTTTAATTGTGTTAAATACGACTAAAATCTTATACGAGTCTCTGTCACGTTCAATTTAGTTAAGGGTGCAGCTATTCTATTCCTTTTAAGTCCAGTTATTTGGGCACTGTAACTGGCTCATGGCTCCTTCAAGAGTGTATCGCACAACCATTCTGAATAAAGCTAATGAATCATTGTGATTTCATCAAGTTTGAAGAGAAGGAATGGCTGGTGGTAGGAAGGTGCCAAAACAATCATAAAGCACATAGCTCTGTTTTTAACATGTGTAATTTGCTTCAGAGAGGGGGAGGGGAGGAAGGCAAGAGAGAGACAGAGATGGAGAGAGACAGAGAGAAAGAGAGGAGAGAAGGAGGAGGGAGAGGGAGAGAGAGAAAGAGGAAGGAAGAGGAAGAGAGAGAAAACTGGCTTAGCGGTGATGGGGTGCTGCACATTGTGATGGAGGGGAAAGTGATCCAGGCTGCCTTGAAGATCCCATTTGGAGTGAGATGCCTGTTGATAACACAGTGCCTGTGTCTATATGAAACCAATGCATTATAGGATTTTGCTGCACATAATTTTCCCTTCTTCATTCCAACTGTCCAAAAAGCATGCAATGAGAGCGTTAAGTCATAAGCCCACAGTTACATAGGAACATTTAACCAAGACAAGGTTGGCAGTTTGGAAGCTCGTTTGAGGGCATACTGGGCTCATCTCTGCCTTTGAGAAAAGTTTCTTGAGTGCTGCGAATGGTCCTGGGTTTCCCTGGGAAATGAAAGCTCAGCGGTGGTATATATACACGAACAGTGATCAAACTCTTGAAAATAAAGTCATTGACAAAGCCCCGTCATCCTCCTCAGATTCCTTTCAGTTCAAGGAGCTCCTCATGCACAAGCAGATTGCTGACTAGGCTGGCTTCATGAAGACGGGACATACTGATCCTGATAGACCATTTTGGCTGCAGTCTATCTACTGAAAATGCATTACTTGATCTTCAGCCCTGTGGTACTATTTGAACCAGACTGTTTCATGTAATAACATAAGTGGGCTACTAACGGTCTAGTTTTAATGTCAAAATTCCAAACCCCACATCTGAAGACATTCATCTTCTTTTCTCCAAAACATGTATATGTATGTATTAAACTTCATACCAGGGAAAGGAAACAGACCTTCAGTTCAGACATTTCAGAGTGAAATTCAGAGGAGGGAGAGGTCACGGAAAGCTGGAGTTTTTTAAACTGGGCCTTGAAAAAAACGACAAGCAGAGAGGAAGAAGCAGTTCAAGGGTATCAGGACAAGGGTATCTTAACTTCTGATTTATTTCAAATTTAGCTGACTTGGGAGCATGATACAATTCTTCCTAGTCTACATTTGTCCCACAAATGTTTCCTGTATTAAAAAAACGAGAGGCATCTTGGCTGTGTATGCGTGGGGGAGGGTGGTGGAAGATAGCATTTCCAGAGGGTTTTTCTTTTCTGCCTTTCAGTTTTTTGCAGTCTGTGTTATAGTTATTAAGTGTTGATATGCCAGTCTCATTTGCTCTGTGGGCAAAGTGGGCTATTTAGAATGTCCCTCTTCATGGTCAGATTTTTTTGGCCACCTCACCTAGTTATTCCCCAGAATAAGAATCCCAAATAAACTCATATGCAATAATTATAGACAACTATTTTCAGCAATCACACTAATCTATAAAACAGATCATTTTGGGGTCACAAATTTTCTGTTGGAGTGTATTTAAAATTTTTTCATCTCAAGTGAGTATTTTAATTGTTGCAAAGGTGGAAAATGAAGAATTAAAAATGGATGGATGAACCGATTTTGTCAGAGTTAACTGTGACTCAGTGGTTTATTCTATTGTTTGAGAAATTTTAAATTAAGAATTGGGAGAAAACCTGGAGATTTGGGTTCTTTCCAGGCAAAGATTCAAGTTTTGCTTTGTTACTGTATTCTATTGATTTTTGGCATGTGGTGTCCATAAATGGGAGAAGGAAAGGGTGAAGAATCTATAGCCTTCAGCTGGAAACCGTGTGGACCATTTACAATGCTGATCAGAATTTTGTCCTTGCATGGGATGTAGCCATGCTGAGAACAAAGAAGCTGTTAAGGTCAGCCCTTCATCACCCTGTTGTCAGTCTCTGGGGATTTAGTTCCAATTTTCTCTTTTCCAGAGGTCACCGGAGCTGAGCCTCAGCTTGAGAAGTTTCTTCCCTGTAACTTGTGCCATCTGGAACACAGTCTGCATTTTCACCCCTCCTTCCACATCTTAGCTGGGATCAATCATTTCTACCTTATTTTATGTCTCTAATCTTCCTGTGTATGTTGAACAAGTGCCTACATCTCAGTGAGCGATTGGGTCCAACTTGAATGAGGCCTGTGTGCTTTGCAAGGAGCTGGTCCAGCTCCAGCCCTGACCCAGAGCCCCTGGGCAAGAGCCACCCAGACAGTCCAGGGCTTCCCTTTGGTAAGCACTCTTCACTCGATACTTTTGGGGAAAAAATTAATTCAGAGGACAAAATTGACTTCATAGGAATCAATGAAAGGGCTTTGTGACAGGTATGTGATAACCAAGATCTCTGGGTGTCCCCACCCTCCCCTGATTGATCCCCCACTTACTGAGATGGAAGAGGTAGATGCACCTCCCTTCCTCAGAGCCTGCCCACACACTCCTGATTCTGTCTTTTGTCACCCAGACTTGCCTCTTAGATTTCCTCTGGTTTTGAACCCAGTTTAAGTTTTTCCTTCTCCAGGTCATCCTGGCTCTGTTCCTGTTGTCTCTTTCTTGGTCATACCATGATCCTGCCTATTTCTTAAGTATATTTTTGGTTGTTGCTGGTAAAGACATTCACTTTCTGCCGAGCCACACGCATTCCGCCTCTTCCAGTGGGCCTTCTGGAGCCTCCATTCCTCCTGAAGCAGCATTTCAGAGGTGCCCTATGGCAGTATTTTTGTCTGTTCTTTTTTTCTGAACTAGAGATCAGAATGGATCTGTAGTATGTATCTTTAGAATGTATTGTCCATCCAATTTGCAATCCTACTTCTCTGTAGGAGTGCTTCTCAAAGTTGAATGTGTGTGTGAGTCACCTGGAGGGGTTGGTGAAAAGCAGACTGTGAGCCAGTAAGACTGGTTTGGGCCCCGCAGTATTCCCAAGAGGCACAGGGTCTGCTGGTCTCAAGATCACACGGGGAGTAGCAAGGGCTCATTGTTCTTTATTTTCATTCCTTGGCGTGTGTAGTAGTTTCTCAGGGCTGTCATAACAAAGTACCATAACCTGGGTGACTTAAAACAATAGAAAACTAGCGTCTCACAGTTCTAAAGATTTGAAGTCCAAAATCAAGGGCTGTGCTCCTTCTGAAACATGAAGGGGAATCCTTCCTTGCCTCTTACTAGCTTCTGTGTGTTGTTGGCAATTTTGGGTGTTTCTGGATTTGTAGATGCGCCACCCCAGTCCCCTAGCCATCTTCTCCCTGTATGTCTTCGTGTTGTTTTCCCTCTACATGTATCTGTCTCTGTGTCTAAATTTTTCCTAAGAACATCAGTTGTATTAAACTGGAGCCCGCCTTAAGGACCTCATTTTAACTTGCTTATCTCTATACAGACCCTATTTGCAAATAAGGTCACATACTTAAGTTCTGGGGGTTAGGATTTCAACATATCTTTTTTTGGGAGCCATTATTCAATCCCTAACAGAGGGCTACTTCCCTTTGAAAAAAATAGAAAGTATAAGACTTTCTTTTCTTTCCTCTCTAGTTATTTTTTTCCTTAAGTAGAATTTGCTGCTTTGATCATCAACTGAAACATGAGAAATTAAGGATGTTTAATTTAGAATGGGCTAGGAAAATACAGATCTGGGAATCACCAAAAAAGAGGTGATAGAAAAGGACTGTTAAAAAAAAAAAAGTTTTTGTGCTCTGTTTTTCCAGGATATCATAGTGGAAATTAGCAATTGGATTTCAAGTAGGTCAGTTCTAGAATTTGAATCCTGACCTGTCACTTATTACTTCTGTGATTTGGGGGGGGTGACCGACTTGCTTCTGCTTAACTTCTATTTCCTCATTGAACAAAATGAGTACAATGACCCCTAGTAAATAAAGGGTGACTGAGAGGATGAATAAGGCTTCTGAAGCACCTGGCATGTGGTAGACATTGAATATATGTGATCAGTAGTTCTGTAGTGAAAGTCTGCATTGTGAATATTGCAGCAGAGCCACCAGTGGTGTCTAGGCAGGTCACTCAATAGACCCTTCATGGCTAAGTCAGCTGCGAAGTCAGCTTACAGCAACCTCTGCTTCTCTCTTCTCCCTCAGCTGCAACAGT